TGAGTGCTTCTGATTATTCTTGTTGGCTGAACGCTTGATTACTCTCTACCGTACACCTGTGACGGTAATAGTCTAGTTGAACTCCCGTCGTTGCATCATATCGTAACTTTTAATATTATTCGAAACGTTCTTCACAGTTTTTATTTTGCAGTAAGATTCGTTAGCTTGTAGGAATAAATTGTCTAATGTACATGTATAATAATCAATTCCCTAGTGCACATGTATGATTAAAGATTGTCTCATATACATGCATATTAGACAGTTTATTAATATACACGTATGTGAGATAATTTACTGTAATATTATAATAATATATAATATTATTAATAATATTATAATAATATATATAATGTTATTAACACGTTCCGTGCCGAGCTTTTTTTACTCGAATCTTCACACTTTGATATTTTACTAAAACTTGATGTATTACGTGCAATTATTAATTCTCGTACACATAACAACGTAACAAAAACTTATCAACGCCCATTCTTGCGGTGGAAATTGATTCTTCGGTTCTAAATTTCTTGTAAACAATTTGTTCAGTTCACTAAGTAAACATGCAAGCGTGTACCATCGATGGTACACGTGGCACGGAACGTGTTAATAATATTATAATAATAATTTACTCTAATATACATGTATACTAATTAGCTGTCTAATATGCATGCATATTAATAAACTGTCCAATGTACATGTATATTAAAAAAATGTCCACGGTACATGTGTAATAATAAACTGTCCACTATATAATAATGACTTGTTCGATAAATACGTATAATAATAAATAGTCTAATGTACACGTATAAAAATAAATTGTCTACTACACACGTCCAATAATAAATTGTCCAACGAACACGTCTTATAATAAATTCGTCAACGTACACGAATAATAATAAATAATATTCCACGCACGAAAATAGTTTGTTATTAAAACAACTGGATATATTTCGAATATAAAGAGGCAAGGGTCAATCTCGAGTGGATAGACAGCAAAATCTAAAAAGATTCGTAAAGCGGAGTCAATCGGTTTGGCCGGTGACCATCAGCAATTGAAAGTGCTTGGCGGTTTCAGGTAATGAAGATTCGTTTCGCACGTTTCCCAGAAATCGAGCAATTACTCGTTAACCAAATCGCCGAACCAATCGTCTTATTAGTTTCGCGTGCACCGGGCGACGAACTAATGGACTGACGCACACCGTTCTTCGAAACCGCGTATCTTGGTTTCGGACGGTTCGTTCGTTAATCGAACATGGAAGCAATCAGGAACAGGTGGCACACCGTACACACCGGCGTGCAATCGTCGCGATTAAAGAAATTAGCGGCGCCGTCGTTCCCTGATACACCGACCATAAATAAGGATTAGGTGTAATCGCGCCGAATAACCGGCGGCACTTTTTACGTTTCGAAGAAGAAGAAAAAAGACAGGAAAATAGGGGAGGAACACGCGGCCGCAAACGTAGACGATCGTAACCCGCAAACTCAATTAATTTTACACTCTAATGTGTCCGGGGAGAAAGGAAGGGAGAACGCATGGAAATGTGTAGGCGGTTGCCGCGCGGTCGATAGACACTACCCTCGCGCTTTTATACTTTTTAATCGTGTCATTGTGTATGATATTTTATATATATATATATATATATATATATATATATATATATATATATATATATATATATATATATATATATATATATATATATATATATATATATATATATATATATATATATATATATATATATATATATATATATATATATATATATATATATATATATAATATCGTTAATATTATTATATATACTCGATAATTCTATATTCTACTCTATATTCTATTCTTATATATCGAGTNTGATGCCATTTTTAAAGAAACACGATAACAACGGAGTTCAATGCAATCGATGCAACAACTTCGACGCATTACAGAAAACAATATTTCCCCTTTTATTCAGAGCTCCGTTCAACTGCGATTAATAAAATTCGACGGAGGAATTCAGAGTTGCCTTTCGTTTAAAAATCTCGCAGAAGAAATGCGAATTACAGAGCAAAATAATCGTTCGCCAAGAATTATCGAGTTGCTCGGATTTATGCCGAAGCAGGAAAGCGCAAGCAAAGGGCTTGATATATATATATATTCCATATATATGTGGAATTGGAATTCCGTCGGTGCCCTTATTTGTCACGATTCGAACTCCATTTTGTTTGTCAGATGCAAATGGGTCATACTATTTTTATCCGCAACTACGAATGGTCTTTTTCGTTTTATATGGTACCATAAGGACAATGCCATTTTTTCCTATAAATTCAAAGCGGTTTTTTTAATCGTTCGCTTCGCATAAGAAAATCAATTGCGACTATTATTAATCTTACCGTTCTCATTGTTCCATTTTCATTTTCTACCACAGTTCTGCAAATTCTTCCAGCCGCCGTGTGCAAGCTGATATGTGGAGCCAGTTGAAATTGTTTATTCCATCAGATACCGTTGCTTGGTTAACTTTGTCCGTTAAATTAATTAGTAATCAAGTTCGTTCTTACTGTAGACAGAGTTAATTAAAATCTCTCGCTCGTTGAAAATAAATTCTTACAGACTTCGTACGAACAAGTAATAACTCGAGCTGGCTATTGGAAAATTACGATATAAATAGAACTGTAACGTTGTGTTAAAATTGACCCAAATCCATCCAATCGGAGGTTCGCGCTTAGAATCGCACACGCTTGAATGGCGAACCGTTGTTTTGTTTCAATGCATCCATTTTTTATATTTATCGTTTAATAAGTGAAAAATTGCGTTGACAAATGCGTAGAACGTAGTATTGTAATAAATAGAATTATGAATAAATAACAAAATGGAAAGAAGATTTACGAGTGCGATGGGATTATGAACAATTTAACCGTGGAGAGGAAGGGGTACGAAAAATGTTCGAGATTATGAACGAAGAAAGCGAATTATACGATATCACGTGCAAGTTTATAAGTGGATAAGATCCAGAAGTGAAGGAGGATCATTGAAACGTTGAGAGAGGTGAGAGAAAGGGAAGATAGCTTGGAAGATGAAGGAACTGGTTCATATTATTTGAAGATGAACGAGGTTGATAGGATTGTGCAGATAAACAATGTAATAATGGAGGCTTGTCGGATCTAAAATAATAGGACCCGTGTTTAATCATTTCCGAAAGTCAACATATATAGCTAGCTCGTCTTAGATTCCATAAACAAACAGAATTATCGCAGCAAAATCAAGGTATTAAATATAACGAGCTTCATTTTTCACTTTGAATCAACGTCACGTTTCCTGGAAATAATAACAGCAGTAATTATTTCGCGAATTTTATATATTTGTGACAAAAATAGGGGAGTGAAGTATGAAACAGCGGAAATAGCCGAACAGTTAACAAATACAGTAAATTCTTCCAAATTGATGTTTAGATTGTACATAAAAATGGACAATTTGGGTAGAGAAGATACGATTATTGTTGACTATCGGTAACTATAAAAGTAAGCCGCAAGGCTCAAATAATTGTAACTCCTATTTTGTACAATCTGAGCGTCAATTAGGGAGAATTTACTGTACTATAATATCATTTGCAAATTAATCAAATTATTAGGAGGAGAAATACGTTTCTATTTAATTGCACCTTCTCGCAATTAATACAGAGAATTTGCATTTCTAGTCCATTGACAGCGCAATAAGTTCAACTATTTGCCCGATTGTACCGTTTTCGAAAGAACCCAAATTGCAATTACCTTTGAACATTTTCCCGTACGACCTCGATTCGTGAGTTATCAATTATTCAATACCGAACTATAGCGTATAGAATGTATCGATTACCCATTAAGATAATTCACGTTAATTCCGGTAAATGGGTTAATTACCAAACCTTTGGGAACATAATGAGATTCCTCTTTCCTTTTACTATTATTCTAAAAATTAGTGTTCGGCTATCATAACACAGTACTAAAATGTATCGTAAAATATACTGATAACCCATCGAGATCGTTTACGTTAATGCTAGCAACCTAATAATCAATGAACCAATACAAATAGAATCAAGTTCTTCCATTTCGTCGTTATTACGCTAAAAATTAATGCTGAACAACTATATAACATAAACTATTGTTCCACAATCAACTGATCGTCCATTAAAATCGTTTACGTTAATTCTGGTAGCTTAGCTAATTAACGAATCATTTTAAATATAATAAGTATAAATATAATTTATACTTTCCTCCCGTTATTGTTCCAAAAATTAATGCTCAGCTATTTATAACGTGCTGATATTTATAAGTGCTGATAAGACTCTTTACGTTGACTCTAATTAACAAACATTAACAAAACAATTTGGATCCTTTTTTGCACCGAATATTATTCTGAAATTTAAAGTTCGGCTAAAATAACGCAATACAAAAATATATCGTAAGATGTACTAATCGTCATAACACTTCGCGTTGTTCCATGTAAGTAAACGAAGATCAAAGTTTGGGATCTGAAGATCGAAGTTAGCGCGGTGTTAATTAACACGTTCCGTGCCGAGCTTTTTTTACTCGAATCTTCACACTTTGATATTTTTCTAAAACTTGATGTATTACGTGCAATTATTAATTCTCGTACACATAACAACGTAACAAAAACTTATCAACGCCCATTCTTGCGGTGGAAATTGATTCTTCGGTTCTAAATTTCTTGTAAACAATTTGTTCAGTTCGCTAAGTAAACATGCAAGCGTGTACCATCGATGGTACACGTGGCACGGAACGTGTTAATAGACTCCAAGTTCTGTGTAATTACGATAAAATCGAATAGGCGAAACTTAAAACAGCGCGGATAAAGCGTTTTCAACGTATCGGAGTTGCTAAAGAAACGATAAAAAAAACTGTTTCAACCTCTGGTTCTTGCGATATACTCAGTCTACCGTGTTCCACAAGTTCGCCGGTATGCTATAAACTTGCCGCGCGCAGAACAGAAACAGCCACTCATCGATTCTGTAATTATTTTCCAACAGGTAACTTTGCACGGGAGCAGAAGCTGCTGGCAGGGAACGTCTTCAGCAGCCATAACGTCACTAACACGCCGACGTTCGAGACGAACGTTCCTCGAAACGTGACGACGGCGGTCAGCCAGACCGCTTTTCTTCATTGCAGGGTTCATCAGTTGGGTGACAAAGAGGTAAGTGGATTCGTACGTTACATCCGGCAGGAAAAGGGTTCTCTGCGGAAACGAGTAATAAGCGCGACGAGATACGCGGCCCACGGTGCCAGGGGAGACCGTGGCGAAGTTAGCCCAGAGAAAACTTTGTAAAAGGGTGCAAAACCTTTCCCTTCGTAAAGAAACGTTGAAACAAATTTAAATTGCAGTCGATCATCTTCTGCTATGTACAGTAATTTCTGCCGGAAATGTTTGGAGGTCGGAATTGAAACCGGCCCTCGCGGCTCGTTTTTGTAAAAACTCTGGGCAGTCGGCATAAAAAGGCAGTGGCCAGCACGATGGTGACATTAATATGAATATTTAGTAATATTAGAATAAAAACGATGACCTAACATTTTTATTTCTAATTGTTTGTCACGATTCGAAGGCAATTCGGAGGCCACTTAACACAATTCGAAGGCAATTCGGAGGCCACTTAACACAATTCGAAGGCAATTCGGAGGCCACTTAACACAATTCGAAGGCAATTCGGAGGCCACGTGACACAAATCGAAGGCAATTCGAAGGCCACGTGACACGATTCGAAGGCAATTCGGAGGCCACATGCCACTATTCGAAGGTGATTATTCGGCTTTTCTTAGTTGACTCAAACCCACAAACAGACGCTTAACAATAAATTACATAGGACTAGCACAGGGAAATTCACAGGAACCCGAAAGTTGGCATTTCCAGGAGAAATTACCGTAATTTTCGGGAACATCGCGATTGAAAATAACCTTGAAGCAGTTCTAAAACTGTTTCAAGGTTATTTACAGTTACCTTAACTCAACCTTAACTCTCTAAAGAGTTGAGGTACTGGGAAACGCGAGAATTGGTCAACTTCGACGATCTATATCTCAGCAACCGTGCACGGTATTGGGCCATTTCAAACGGCATTCGGTGCTCTGAAACGTGTTTAACTACTATGTACTATAGCAGCCCATCATTCACGCTATATATGTACTTTGAGAATTCAACTTCGCGGAGAAGGTACACCACTGTGCGTCGTCGCCGAGTTTTTATTCTCTGCTCGTATTATCGCAGGACGAGCCTTCACGAAGATAAGATTTCTCTTTAACGACCACCCACGCCTCTCTCTGACAGTAATACGGTGGATCATGTTTTCATAGTTCTTGTAATCGGCGAAATAAGTCGGCTCACGTCGTGTGCTAACTTCTACGATCTGGACTTTGTTGCTCGGACAAAAGATTTGATATCTGAGACAATCATTTGTTAGATCGTTTCACTCGTGCACTGCATTACTTCGTTCGAATGTTGCTTGGAGATAAATAATAATAATTTCTAGACTGCCAGATTTTGTGCATTCATTACAAATACGATCTGGACTTTGTTACTCGGACAAAAGATTTGATATCTGTGACAACTATTTATTAGATCGTTTCACTCGTGCACTGCATTACTTCGTTCGAATGTTGCTTGGAGATAAATAATAGTAATTTCTAGACTGCGGATTTTGTGCATTCATTACAAAAATGAGTAAGTCGAATATGAAACGTTTGATCCACGAAGACGTTACAAGAATTTAACGATATCGTTACACCGTTTTCAACACATCGCTGTTATTAGAACTGGAAAGACTTCTTTCATTTAACCGATATTTCTTACAATCAAAAAACTCGGACAATTCTTATTTTGCATAAAAAATCCGCAGCACTTTCCAGAAATCCGTTGATGCTCGCGGATGCCGGTGTACGCAGAACGTCCAGTCTAATTTTCCCGGAGATAATGGCACTAACGGCTTAACCCCAGTGTCAATAATTAGGTACAGGGATAGTTACTTCCAACTTCGCTTGAATATTTCTTCACGATGCGAACTTCGAAAACCCTTTTCAGTTCGGCTTAGCGACCACTTTCAAGGATTTTTAGATAATATTCCGCCGATGTTGCGGAGAAGTTTCCGCGGAGAAGTTTCGATAAACTGACGCTTAAATGAATCGATGCCGGGGACGCGAACGATTCTGTGTTGTCGGCACGCTTTTTAGTCTGCTCATTAACTCGGACTCGGGATGCTGCCGGTACAATTTAATTAGCACGAGTAATTCCGTTTTAAAATACACGCCGATCGGCGCCCGGAAGAATGTGCTGCAGCAGCACGTAAAAGGGTCCGCTGTTCCATCAAAGGTAACCCTGCAGCTCTGTGTTGCGGTCGGGCTCGCTTTATCGTTTTTCAAAATCTTCGATCCGAGGTGTGCGTTCACGGCGGCTGTATGAATCCGGGAGGCTTCTGGGATAACATTACCGCAAGGCCGCCGTGCGGTTTCGGCGCCGGGTTGTTCATAGAATATGCATGACGCGTGTTCCGGGAGTGAAACAACCTGAAGGACGGGGTAAATATGCGTGCAGTCATCGAATTTTATTTTCATCCCTGTTGCGTCTGTAAACGGCGATTACCTGTAGCCCACGTAGCAATTTGCCCGGGGAGGAGAAACGTTTTCGGCCAAGGATATGTCGCGTAACATCGGCCTGTATACTTAAACGCGCATTTACAGCGAGACTATTATTACGCTTCGCTCGTGTTCAATGGTTGCATTCTTTTTGGCGAACGACATTTCGTTCCACCGATGACGGAACATTGAAGCGTGCATCAACATTTCGACTGGCTACGCCAAAAACCCCAAGAATTTCGGAAAATTCAAGTATTTTATTTAATTTAAAAATTAACTCGCCGAGCAAAGCGACGCGTTAACCTTTTTGGTACGGCTGATACGTACTGTACAGAGTGTCTGTATATTCTGTCTGTATATTGTTAAGATACAGTTATATTGTTAACAGTTATATTGTTAAGATAAGTCTGTATATTGTAAATCAAAGACAAAAGAAGTGTGAAACAATGCATTTGAAGGCGATTATTTGATTCAAACGATGACCGAGTGAACTACTAGAGTAAGCCACTATAGTGGTGCGTCGATCAGAGAGGTGACATCCGCGAAAGCTACTATAGTGGCGCGTCGTTCAGAGAGATGATATCCGCGGAAGCCACTATAGTGGCGCGTCGTGCCTAAAAGGTTAATTTCTAGTTCGCGGATTTTCTGTATTTACGAGAAAAATGGCTGTCTCTAATCTTAACCCCTTGACCTACAATGACGGGCATAGCCCGCGTACGATGATCGGGCCAGAAGTAAATATTACGGGCATAGCCCGCGTACGGTGATCGGGCCAGATGTAAATATTACGTGGAATATTTGATACGCAATTACAGTCTGATGCAATAATTGTGGTAGACACAAGTATTACAAAATATTTATTTATACAAAACTCCAAAATACAAAATTAGTAATCTGTAACGGTATGATATATTTCAAAGCATTCTGGTACATGTAACGGAACTTTACAATTGCCCGGATTGGCGTGTTACACAAGTCGTGCGAACGTCCCGAACGCTGCGCGAGCTTGTATACAATTTCGGCCCAACATCTTCGAATCTAAATCGTAGGTTAAGGGGTTAAATAGGAGAAAGAGTAAACGAAACATTCGATTTAAATCTATGTGACCCCGGATTGTTGCAACAAATGTAGACAATTTTTAATTCGCGCGAAGATCCGCGATCTGTTAATTACATTCTCGACATCGTCTCGTTTCTTCGTAGGAAATGTTCGAATAGAATTAGCGAGCTTCCGAATTTCGCGTAGAAGCTTTATAAATGTTTCTTGTAATTCTATGAAGCGGTTACAGTTTCCGGAAAATGGTGATTTGGCGGTCGTTACCGAGGACAAAGCGTTCGGAAATCGCGCAGTTTAACGCGCGACCGCACAAACCGTAGTAAAAATTTCGAGGAAGCTAAAGCCCCCTCGTTCACGAAAACATCCGAGATCATTGTCTGGAATAATGTACGGGATATACGTATGCAGACCCGTTGATACGATAGCCCCACGTCAGCACGATTTATTCATACTTACATCATTAAAGTTTAATCAAACCGTACGATCTTTACGTGCCGGGCGCTGCCGCGAGTTCGTAGAACGTGCACGGCAGTGCTATTTGTTGAAGTTCCAGCAAATGCGAAACTTTCGAACTATGGAGATCGAGGAATTACACAGGAAGATTTGATACAACGAAATCCTGTAGAACGTGAAGCCATCGCCTTGAAAATGTTCCACGATCTGCCGCTAACATTTCTGCGATTCTGCTGAAACAGCTTTGTTCTAATTACAGAAGGAAGATTATTGTTCCAATCGATTTCATGTCCCCGCGATACTGTGGATAATCTTAAGTTTGCCAGTATGTATTTTTATTTGTTGGCAACGTTCAGTCGATTGTTTAAATTTGCTAGCAACGTTTAAGCGGTTACTTAAACTTCCTAGCGACATTTAATCAGTTACTTAAAGCTAGCAACATTTAGTCAGTTACATAAATCTGCTAACAATGTTCAACCTATTATCTAAATTTGTTATTAACGATTACTTAAATTTGAAATATATTGTTATCGTTCGAAAATATTGATGCTAGGAAATATTTTAAACCGTAATTGGAATGAAGTCAAATTAATTTACATTCACAGTCGTAATGTGTTGCACGAAATTCAATTGTTCTGTATGCCATGAAACGAAGACAAAGAAATGTTTGGATATATCAATAATTTTTTAATCCATCGGAAATTTCAATTTTGAATTCAGAAGTTACGTTAAAGAAGAAAGATCGCTATTTCATTTAAATGCGAGAAATATTTGTTTTCAATGCAATGAAGTATAGCAATTAAAAATATTTCCTTCGTATAATACGTAGTACGTAATAAAACGAAGACGAAGAACTGTTTGGATATATCAATAATTTTTTAATCCACCGGAAATTTCAATTTTGAATGAAGAAGTTGCGTTAAAGAAGAAAGATCGCTATTTCATTTAAATGCGAGAAATATTTGTTTTCAGTGCAATGAAGTATAGCAATTAAAAATATTTCCTTCGTATAATACGTAATACAGAGCAAATCGTTTGCAGACAATAATAATTTATCGGCTAGACAAG